GGCAAGCGCGATTCTAATTGTTCTTGGGTGGCTATCCCTGTGCGGCTTACAGGGTGAGGACTAGCCTGTTTGAGTGGGCAGGAGTGGCCTCGTTGACCCTGGGGTTCAATTGACCATGACTCCTCAGGTGAGTGGCATAAGGGAGAAGTGTCCCTTGTATGTCCTAACTGATTGGGCTAAAGCTATTAGGCCGTTTCAGACGTAGAAGTGGGTTGGGTCATATTTAGCCATTGGGCTAGTCCAAAACACCCCTGATCTCCGAATTTGACATACTACAATTATCCAATGATTAAAACAACAAATTCATAATATATCACAAATTGGCATCAATAAAATCATCATTTTTCAAGGTTTTTAACTCGTACAATAAAATCGCTTATTTTCCAAACTTCTCTCAAACACTCCCTAACATGTCTAAACAACTTATTTAAAAAATATATCATTATAGGTAATTTACACACTGTTATTACAACCTATCAGTTAACATCTTGTACATGTTATACATCATCATACCATATCAAATCATCAAATTAACACATAAAATCCCATAATCTCCTAAAATTGTATTAACCCCAAAACCTCAAAACCTTCAACAATGGCGGGAAACATATCAACAACCAAAAACATATTTGTCATACATATAGGCACACAAAATTCATCATCATTGACAATATGTAATATCAAAACATAATCAAAATTTCAGGTTTAAGCAAAATCTCAATGCCCTGTCGGAGGTTAAGGAATCCTCAAGTCTACCCCTCATGCATATACCCGTTTATTAAATTATTCTCCCCTTTACCATGTTATCCTAGCAGTAATCTGAATCTGAAACAGATTTGGTTGTGTTCCACCTTCAACCTCTAGCTACCCTTTTGCCTCTCTTTGCCTCTTTGCTTCTTTTTGGTTTCTACATATCTGACAAAAGCTAGGTTACTCTCTTCTCATTTTTTTCATCTCTAAAAACCTAATTAGTTATATCCAATTCGCCCTTACTTATTAACACAATCACCATAATGCCCATACTTACTCAAAATTTCATTTATTTTACTATTAAATCTAGTAATTTAACATTCCACCAGTATTATTATTTTAATTAAGTAAATCCACGAAAATTACTATTAATTAATTATTTAAAATCTAAAAAAACTCTAAATAATCCTAATCAACTTTAACTCTCTCTACGCCCCCACCTCAAGCATACATACCCCTATAACTACACATAAATAATAAATTACACAAAAACCATAGATAAATTAATTATAACTAATCTAACAAAAAGGAGGTGTTACATCTACCATATAAACTAGGAGATGTTTGTATGGGCCTTTCAGAATGCCTCAGAGTTGGACACTTTAATGAGTTCATGACTCAAAACCAACATCATCAATGGATGAGATCATGGCTAGAGTGGAGTGTTATATAAATGCAGAGGAAAACAATGCCTAGACAAAGTCCAGAGCCGTGAAATATCAGAGTAATTGAAAATCTAAGATATATATAGATGAACAACAAAGGAATTATAATGTGATACCGGTTTGAGAGAAACCCAGTTTCAAGCCCACCAAAAAATCTATGGTGCAATTCATCCCACTACATATAAGGAGTGAGCAAATCCTTCAAGATGTCTACCATACTAAGATCATCCTGGAGCCTCACACTCCCAAAAGAGATTCCATGGGACACTACCAAATGGTGCAAATATCACAAGATACAAGGTTATCATATTGATGACTGTCACCATCTGAAGCGTGAGATTGAGAAGCCGATTCAAAGAAATATCCTGTATAGATATGTGCGGGGAAATTTACAAGGTTCAGAAAGAAAAACCCCGCTGCAAAAAGAATTTTCTGGAGAACACCCTCGCCACGAAAGGGTCAGAGTACCAAATATATCAAGAGTATTCATCCATAATTACAAGAGCATAGATGTTTCCACCTAGACTTACAGTTTTATATGGGAGAAAAAGGTTAGTGTGAAGTAGTTGCAAGGGCCGGTCAATAGAAACTATATGTTTAGATTTAAAAGAGGCCCTTACTTGCTTCTCTTTTTGGAACATATCATAATATGTTCTTTTCAAAATATAAGTATGGAAGACCGTGCACAAGATCTTTATGGACCAACTTGTTCAAATGATCTATGTAGATGTGAGCTATTCTCTTATGACATAACCAAGATTCATCCTCGTTACTTAGGTGACAAACATCACTTGAAGGAATTTTATTTAAATTCAATGTGTAGGTATTTACACTTCTTGAGCTTGTAAATAGAGTTTCGTTTGATTTATATTTTATGACCCTGCAACCAGAATCAACCAGCCTTCTGAATACCTTCTGCATTAAGGTACTTATCATCAACACATCTGAACTTTGTCCTATTTCTAGAGTCAAAATCAATCAGCCATTGTTTGTTTTCAGTTAAGTGATTTGAGCAACCAGTGTCCATATACTACCAGTCTATCAAATACCTACCATCATACTCAGAAGCCATCAATAGCACATGTTCATCATCAGAATCTCCTCCGACCAATCTGCTTACAACAACAGTATTGAACCTTCTTCTTGTAAAACTTCTCCTTTCCCTTCTGATATTTCTTCTCATCAGAATTGGAGGCTTCTGACTTTTGGGAACCACCATGTCTCTTCTTGGCCTCTTACCAAGGCTGCTTCTGATACTTCTTACCAGAAGACGCCTTCAGAGCTTGCTCTATCTATCTCTCAGAGGTTTTCTCAGTCAGACGTAACTCTTGTGCCTCTAGACTACTTTGCATCTCTTTAATTCTCATGGTGTCCATATCTTTAGAATGTTCAACTGCTACAACAATGTAATCAAATTGAGGAGTAAGAGATATCAATATCTTCTCAATGATTACTTGTTCAGAAAGAGTTTCTCCACATGATTTCATCTCATATGTGACCAGAATCACTCTAGAGATGTAATCTGGTACCTTCTTATTATTCTTCATGTTGAGATTCTCATATTGTTTACATAGAGATTGAAGTTTCACCTTCTTCACTGACACATCACTACCGTAGCACTGTGTCACTATATCCCATGCAGCCTTCACCATTGTCGAATCAATGATTTTTCAAACACGTTCGCATCCACACACTGATGGATGTATAACAACGCTTTTTGATCTTTCTTCCTTGTATCTCTTTGCGTGTTTCTCTGTTCCTCCATCACATCCACTACAACCTGAACATAATCTTCGGGGATAAGATCAAGAATATCTTGAGCACCAAACAAAACACGCATTTGAATCATCCATCGATTCCAATTCTTTCTATCAAACACTAGAAGCTTAGTATTCAAGTTGTTTCCGCCGCTCATCTTCGTTTTTATGCACTGAAATTCAAACTCAGATCTCACCAAACACTCGTATTTTCTGGTCTCGCAAAATCAAGAAATGCAATTCTGTTACTATTTCGATAGTGAATTCAACACGAATTCAAACAAAAAAATCAATCACACACGCCTCACGTACACTCGTGTTTCCCTGTGAATCAAACTGGAGCTCTAGATACCAATTGTTGGTGTACAAAGGTTGACGATGAAAAATGAAGATGGAAGAAGAAAGAGAAAGAAGAGAGAAAAAGACGATTGTAACAAACTTCTTGAGAAAGAAATTCTATTAACAATTGTATTGTAAAACTCTAGTTACAAACTTGTTTAAATACACGAAATAAATTGTCACATAAGCCCTAACAAAACTATGTTTAATAGCTAAGCTAACAACTAAAAATAACTTCTAGAAAAATATCAAACTACCACTTCTAAGTAACAACTTCAAAAACTCTATTACTTCTGACTAACAACATGCTTCTAAATATAAATTACTTTTAGAACAGAAACATCTCAAAAAAGAAGAAAAATTAAAACCATAGCAAAGCCTAGGGACAACACAAAAGCTTCTCACCATAACCATCACTAATACATGAATTAAATGGATCATGGTTTAATGGAATTAATTGTCATTCTAAGATATTGTTTGTCTGAACTCAAAATTGAGGAAATAATAGAGTAAGTGGAAAAATACAATTTTTAAGAATCATTTTCTCCTTTGGATGGATCAAGAAAGTGTAAGAAAGGAAGGATATAAAATAACAAAATACACAAACTTTTTTCCAAACTTTGAAGGAAAAACTATTTATAATTTTTTTAACCTATCTATGAAAAAAAAACTTTTCCTTTAATATTCTTTCATTTTACTTTTTCTGGTTGTCCAATCCAAATAAAGCATAAGTGTAAGTAGAATAAAATAACAATTTTCAATTAAGAAAAAAATAAATCTGAAGACTCTGATCGTTATCTACCACCATTGCAACTAGAGACAAGAGACGCGTCATCGCACGCGCCGCAACAATCTGTTGCGCGAAGAATCTTCTTGATGGAGACTCAATCAGAGGTGCTGCGGAACTTCTTTTAGGTAAACATTGTGCTGTTTGTTCTTCATTGAGTATGTGTGAATGTTTCTGGTTATTCTCACATAAACGATTGTCTTTTTTTAAATATTTTTTATGTTGAGAAATCATGTGAATTACAACAACAAATCATAAGTCTATTGCTGCTGTTAATCAAGTAGTTAGAGAGTTATTTTGATAATAATAACAACAATTCATGCAAATAATTCAAAATGCTTTATGACTTACGTGTGATAATAAAAATAAAGTTTGTTTGACAAGCTAACCCATCTAAGAGTGGGGTGAGTGTTGGAACTCGATCATTTGAGTTGTCCACCTCACCCTGATTTTGATGGATTAAAAACGGGACAAACCTAAACGGAGAGAGCCAATCTGCTCTGACATCATGTTGGCTCTCTCCATCACTAGTTATAAGCTAATTTATAGTTTATAGGTACTTCAAGAGAAACTGATTGTGTGTCTATGATGTGCCGGTGTACTTCAATTTTCTTTTCAATTTCATCTATGATCACATCGACTCTATCATTAATTATTCTTTGTAGCTTCTCCCATCAAACATGTAAACTTTATCATGTTTGGTTAATTGATTTCATGTGAAGAATGGACAATTGTGTTGGTTGGTCTTCTTTGTAAACTCACCAAAGAGTAATAAGCTCCACTTGGTCCCTTGGCCAACAAAGATGAATGTGTTCCTTTCTCAACAACACTTCCCTTATCCAAAACAGCAATCAAATCACAGTTTTGTATAGTACTCAACCTATGAGCCACAACCACACTTGTCCTTCCAACCATAACCCTTTCTAAAGCATCTTGCACCAGTTTCTCTGATTGACTATCAAGTGCACTTGTTGCTTCATCCAAAAGTAACACCTCTGGATTCTTCAATATAGCTCTAGCTATTGCAATTCTTTGTTTTTGACCACCACTTAGTTGAACTCCTCTATCACCACACCATGTCTCATAACCATCTTTTAAGCTTGATATAAAATCATGAGCATTTGCGGCTTTTGCAGCCTCAATAATCTCACTCTCATTAACTTTATCATCATATGCTCCATATGCAATGTTTTCCCTTATGGTACCAGCAAACAATGTTGGTTCTTGACTCACAAGTGCAATGTGTTTCCTCAATGACCTTAGATTATAAGATTTTATGTCTCTACTATCTATTGTCACCGTCCCTTTAAAAGGATCATAAAATCTCTCAATTAGTCCTATGATTGTAGATTTTCCCGAACCACTTTCCCCGACCAAAGCTGTTGATTTTCCTGCGTCAATTTTAATCGAGAACCCTTGAAAGATCATCACATTAGGTCTAGCTGGATATGCAAAATGCACATCATGAAGTTCAATTTTTCCTATTAATTTTTCGGTTTCGTAACCTTCTAAATCATCAGGCTCGATTTTTGTATACCTATCAAGAATTGCGAAAACCGATCCAACAGCATCAGAGCCTTTAGCAAGATCATTCGTCATGCTACCGGCATCAGCAATAACTCTTCCGGTGCTTACCAAGATCATAAAAGTCTCGAACAACGCCTTACCCGAAATATAACCTTGTGACACAAGTTTTCCACCATACCAAAAGTCCAAAGCCCAAGTACAAAAATTGAGGCTTTGTGAACACGCAAGCCCAATACCTGCAAACCAAGACTGTCTAATGCTTTCTTGACTTGGCCCTTGTTGGGCTTTTTCAAGTATTTTGAGGATTCTATCTTGAGATGAAAAAGAAGTTATGGTCCTTAGATTCGAAACAGCTTCAGCAGCTATTTTGCTACATTCATCTTGAGCCTTAATAGCTTTACTTGACATGTTCTTTAGAAGGACACGCCTTGTGTAGAAACAACAAATGATTATTGGTTGAACTGCTATCATAACAATGGCTAGTCTCCATGCAATGACTAGGCCCATTGTGAATGCTATCACCACTGCTGATATAGTTTGTACCACAAGAGCCAATCTATCACCCACCAAAGATCTTACCTGTGTTTATATAAAAATTCATTTTATCTGTTAGTATTGTATTAAATTCTTAGTATATAGTTTTTTTAATCATGTATCTAACATAACATAACATGCAAATTTTCATTTTTTTTATAGGAGAACGTACCACATTGGCTTCTTTGGCAAGTCTAGAGCAAACAGCACCTGTAGAATTTTGATCCTCATCAAACCAACCAACTTCAAAAGTGAGTATCTTGGAAAGCATTCTTTCTCTAACCCTTTTAGTCAAGTATTCTCCCATGTAAGCAAAGCTATAATGTTGAAGCACATTGAAAACCATTGAAGACACAGCCAACCCTAGAAAACAAAATGCATAGATCCTAATTTGCTTCTTGATCTCATCATGGTCCTCCAGAAAATAAACAGATATAACCGACCCCATTGCAAACGCGTATACAGGTTGAATCGCGCCGAATAAAAGCGCGTTGAAACAACCCAAACATGCTTGCTTCCACTCTGGCAAATTCATCGCCAACAACCTTCGAAACGAAGGAACCTCGACCTTCTTCTTTCTCTTATTATTGTTATGAAGACCATCAACTATAACAACAGTATTGACAATATCTTCAACATCATTATTATAATTAACGATATCATCACCACCTCGTGACATTGAGTTGAAAGAGCTAGACTGACTCATTAGTCTACGACTACTTGCATTTTGCATGCGATCTCTATTCAAGATAGACGAAGTGTCGTTGCTTTGGTCATTTCTCGTTTGTTGGAGACGAACGAGGGAAGTGTATTGAGAATTTTCATTTTCCATGAGGCTTTCGTGAGATCCCGTTTCCATGATCATACCATTTTGAACAACTGCAATGATGTCTGCATTTTGGATGGTTGATAAACGGTGAGCGATGATGATGGTGGTCCGTCCAACCGATGCTTTGTCTAAAGCCTGTTGGACGACTCGTTCGGATTCAGAATCGAGTGCACTTGTTGCTTCGTCAAGCAATAGAATTTTTGGCATTTTTATTATAGCTCTTGCAATGGCAATCCTTTGCTTTTGTCCTCCTGACATTTGAACTCCTCTCTCTCCAACCTGTAATAGTAGGAAACATGCAATTAATTAACATCTTAATTATAACTTAGTAACATAATTTTCTAATTTAGTAGAATTAGTTTCATTGATGTAATACATTTTAAAAGAACATTTCTCCAGTAAACAAATTTTGATTCTATAAATCCTGATTACACCCTTTAAAATTTATAAAAAAGAACCAATAACTTCAACAATAAATAATTTGAATACTCCATTCTAACAAACAAATTTTAAAGTAAATGAATTTTAAGTAAATTATTTAAATTATTTAAAATTAATTTTTTTTTAATTACCTAGCTTCTTTTTTATATTTTTAAAATGCATTCTATATCTTCAATTATATATATAAGTAACACCTTTTTCTTTTCTTTTTTTTTTGCGGCGTAAAGTAACACCTTTTTCTGTTTATGCTAGTTGTAATTTTTTTATGCATTTTGATTATTTAAACATTAGGTAAATTCAATTCATATAGGTATAAGTGAAATCAGTTCACATAACACCTATAATAATAGTTATGAAAGAGTGTTAACAGAAATATTTTTGGAGTATAACTAGAAAAAGTATTAATCAATTGCAAAAGAATCATTGTTTGTTCATTAATTTATTCATTAATTTAGGAATGTCAACTACTAATGTCCTTGTATGATACGTTTCAGGTTTGTTTGCATTCAATGAATCACTTCTATAAGTAATATTTAAACACTAACATTATTATAGTAACAATAGTATAGTATTTAAGATATGCTATGTGTTAATAATTTTATAAAAAAAATATGGTCAAGATATGTTTGGCCATGAATGAAATTTGTCTCCTAAAAGGCATTTCCAGTGATGCAACTTGGATGGAAAAAAAAGATAAGATGCTTCATCTAGTGGACCACCATTTTTTTTTTAGTTGCAAAATTATTGCAAAATATGCCCCTTATTTCATGGTATCCTTGTCATTGATTTTCTTAGCAAATAGGGTGGTAACACAAAATTCATATCGAAGACATCGTCTGTCTGACGCATGACACACTGATATATACAGTTATATTCAATCATTTCTAATAATTTTTTAAAAATTATTATTAAAATTTAGTTACTACTGTTATTTCTGATATCCATTTTAATAACATATTCATAAAAAGTTTACATTATCGCAACAATCTATCACTATGCCTCCAATAGCAATTTAGAAGTATTCTATTCACCCTTTCATCATTTTAGAATAGAGAAATTCCACTTAATTATATTTGGTTCAAAGCATAATAACAAAAGAAATTAGCACTAACCTGAGTATCATATCCTTGTGGCAACAATGAAATGAAATTATGAGCATTAGAAGCTTTAGCAGCATCAACAACATCTTCATATGTAGCATCCTCTCTTCCAAAAAGTATATTCTCTTTAATACTTGTTGCAAACAAAGCAGGCTCTTGACTCACCAATCCCATTTGAGATCTAAGCCATTTGAGTTGCAACTTATGAATAGCAACTCCATCAAAAAGAATCTCTCCACCAATTGGATCATAAAACCTTTGCAAAAGTGATATTACAGTCGATTTTCCCGAACCACTTCCTCCTACTAATGCAACTGTTTTACCTGATGGAACCTTTAGGCAAAAATCATTTAAGATCACACTTTCTGGCCTTGACGGATACACAAATTCAACATGCTTGAATTCAACTTCTCCGGACACTTTCTCTAGAACTTCACCTTCCATACTTTCAGAATCTATCTTTGGTACTCTCTTTATCACCTCCATTATTCTTTCTCCCGCAACACTTGCTTCTGAAAAATACTTCACATTGGATAGACCCGCTCCTAAAGCCCTATCACACAAGGAAACATGTTTCAATTTTTTCTAATAGTATGAATTGAATCGAATGTCATAAATGGAAAAGATATACATACAATCCACCAAGTGCGAGTGAAGCTCCAACTGCAAATATAGTTCCACCTTTCGCACCATGATACATGACCATTCTGCTACCATAATATGCCATAAAAGACCATATAGCAAAAACAACACCATTGCTTCCTATGGCTAAACCTTTTGCTAAGCCTTGTTTCAATCCCAACTTCACTGATCCTTCCAAAGCATCAGAGAAAGCAGCTATGGTTTTGTTTTCTCCTGCAAAGGAATAAACAGTTCTGATGGAAGATATTGCTTGTTCGGCTATTGTACCGGCTTTATTGTACTCGTCTCTGATTTTTCTAGCCAATCCCATCAAAGTTCTCCCATACATTAAACCAGGTATCACAAGTAGAACAATAAAAGGAAATCCAACAATTGCCAATCTCCATAACATTGCAAATGCCACTATGTAGCTCCCAATGAACATAGATGCATTCATCAAAAAATTTGGAACCTATATGATTTTCAAGTTAAAAGAAATTAAATACTAACTTAAAAAATCGTAACGTCACAATACTTTCTAAACAATAGAACAGACACCTGACACAATACAAATACTAAAACATAAAAATTTAATATTATTTAAGAAAATATAAATGATTATCAGAAGTATAAAAATTGTGTTGGTGTTACACATAGATATATAACAAACACTAAAATTAATCGACAATCTAAATTGTCAAAGTTACACAACACAACTTTAATATGAAATAAACCTTTAAATGAACTATCGTGTCTAATTAGATTTTTACAAATACCATATAAGACTCTTAAAATAGTATATACCATGTTATTGACTAGATCCGGTATCATTTAAAGAAAATTTGGTCTTTCTTCAACTTACTCTATTTTTATCTTTAGGTAGAAACCTTATTTCTATGCTTAATGATAGAAATGATTTTTTATACCTTTTCACTGAGAACATCTTGAATTACTAGGCTGTCATTAGAGACACTGGTGATGACTTCTGATGTACTTGTAACATGTACATCAAAGTATGCTACTTCTTGTCTTAGAACTGCTCTTAAGTACCTAGATCTCATTCTTGCAGATTGTCTTTCACCTGTTCTTGTCCAACAATAACCCTCTGAAAAAGGTACACAATTAATACTCATATCATATGGAAAGAATAAACCATCAATATATACATAAAGTATCATTTTTTCTTTGGTATAGTTCCAAAAGTATATAAATATAAGTAATCTCAAAAGTATATGAAAATTCGTTATATTCATAGGATATACTTATTATATTCTTTATACATAGTATAAAGTAAAGTACCCAAAACCAAAAATAGTAACAAAACTGAAGACTCACCTAGGAAGCAAGCAACAAAAGCAGCACATGCCAAATATAACAAAAAAACAGCATTCTGCACACAAAGTTAATATAGTCAAACCAAATAAAGTACTTGTATTTCCTCTTTGCATATGTGAAGGGAAAGTCTTGAAGAAACTCTTCAAGAATTTATGTAATTTAGAATTCACACATGTTTTCACCAGTCTTCTATTTCTTTTGAAAAACGATGAGGATTTTACTCAGAGAGAGTGAGAGGATTCAAGTTTGTTTATTATACTCTGAATCCTCTCTCCCTCTTGAAAAAAAATTATTCATCGACAAAGATAAAATTTAAGAGAGAGAAATTGGAAACCTCATTGATGTTATGGACAAAATTGTTGCTTGATGTATTAGAAACACTACCAATAGAGTTCATAATTTTGCTTGTGATAAACAAAACCAAAGGGGTCATGATTCCATCACCAATGGATCCGAACAAACCAAAAGCCATAAAAAAACAGTCAAGAGCATCAGCATGCATGAAAATGGATTTGAAAGAACCATTTTTCTTTTTCTTCTTTTTAACAATAGAAACATTTTTCTGATCACCACCACCACCACCCATTTAGCACAACAACAAAAACTATGTATATAGTTTTATATATTTGTGCTTGGTTCCAAGACCAAGCTTTCTATGGTTTTGTTTGTTATATTCAATTTTGCAATGTTTTGGTGGGATTTATAGGAAAAGAGAAAGTGGGAGGGAGTGTGTGGAGTGGGGGTGGGGACAGCAAAATGAAAAGAGTATTTAATTTAAGTGATTCATGATAACATGTGAAGTTGGTTATTACTAGTATAACTATATTGTTGTTATTGATTCTTTGACTTTATGGTTTTTAATATACAAATAATGAATGTACAGAAGCATCATTAATGATTCAATCAGACACAGAAAAAACATCATTAATGACGATTGGAATTCGTGCATGTTAATTAATTGTGTTAAGTTACTGAACTGGTCTAACCATAGACCTCAATGGTTTAGCAGCTATAAGTAGAGTTGGGTTATGAGTATTAGGATTGGTGGACCGGTCTGCTTATCCTACCTTCTGCATGGATAGGAGATTTGTATGTCTACGATGAATATGGGGTTCACTCTCTTGTAGGCATCATAATTCATAATAGGTTTTACTGTTGTTTCAGTACTCAAACTTAAATTTTAGTTTAATATTTGTTTCCTGTCCCGAACTAAAATGGTGGTAAATATTAAATTTAGAGGTGTTCAAAATCGAATAGATCAATAGAAAACCGCTAACAGAATTAAATGCTGGAAATCCATCAATTCTATGATGAATTTCTATCTATCTTGAAGAGCATAATTGTTATCACCACATAATGACAATAACAAAATATTAAAGAAAGATAATGATTTTCTGTAGAGTTTCTCTCTGTCCACAAACAATAGAAAATTTTCTTATTCACTTACAACTACAAGTTCTGTGAATACAACTTGAGTACAAAAATAAGGATTACTCCCCTATTTATAGATTTAAGTTAGTTTGCTCCGTAAGTCAAAGCCCAAAACTAGAAAAACTCAAAATACCTATTTTGAAACTAAATCAAATCTATCTATTTTAGACTTAAATCAAATCAATCTATTTTAGATCTAAATCAAACATGTGTGTAACAATCTACTTCCACACATTTCGATAGACTAATTCGACACACCTTGTGTCGAGCAACATTCTGCTTCGGCACAAAGAATTATACTTTCAACACACCACCTAATTCATAGTGTCTAAGCTATCTACATTCATCATAAGTCTTAGTCTTCTGAATATTTCGATTTGCACTCCCTTCGTCATGATGTCTGCAATCTAGTTCTCAGTTCTGCAGTATTTCAAGTTCATATTCCCTTCTGCTACCTACTCTCGAAGATAATGGAATCTCATTTCGATGTGCTTGCTTTGACCATGAGCTATCAGATTCTTCGTCAGGTTGATAACTGACATGCTGTCGATCTTCATGGTAATTGCTCCATGATATTTCCCTGTAATCTCTTAGACCAAGTTCACCATCCATGTTGTTTGACATGCACAAAGAGAAGCAGTTATGTATTCTGCTTCGCACGACGATAATGTCGCTACTGGTTCTTTTCTCGAACTCCAAGCAACTGGTGCACCACCTAGCATAAGCACATATCCTGCTGTGTATTTTTTATCCTCAACATCACTACACCAACTTGAATTAGTGTACCCCACTAACTTACATTTTTTTCTTTATCAGCTGCAGGAAATAAAATATCATAGTCAAGAGTTCCTTTCAGATACCTCAATATCCTCTTCGTCGTTGCTAAGTGTGATACATTTGGCTTCTGCATGAATCTACTCACCATACCTAGATTGTATGCTAAGTCAGGCCTTGTCTGACAAAGGTATCACAATGACTCAATAATTATTCTGTATTGAGTTGGGTCGATATCATCTTCGTCTGAATCTTTTGATAGTTGCAACCTTGGTTCAGCAGGTGTCGATGTCGAGTTGAATTATTTCATCTCAATTCTCTTGAGAATTTCTCCGGCATATCTTCTTTGATGCATCATCAAATCTCTACTACTCTTGTAGAATTTGATTCCAAGGAAATATGAAATATCACCCAGATCAGACATTTCAAATTCCTTGCTGAGATCACCTTTGAAGTCTTTGATCTCATTCTTGCAGCTACCTGTTATTATCAAGTCATCGACATTGAGACATAGTATAAGAAATTCACTATTTCTTCTTCTTACATATACTCCATGTTCAGTTATGCACTTCACAAATTCCTTCTCCTTTAGGAAACTATTAATCTTCTTATTCCAAGCTCTTGGAGCTTGTTTCAATCCATACAAGGCTTTATGCAACATGTACACATTTCTCTCTTCGCCATGCTTCATAAACCCAAATGGTTGTGCAATATAGACTTCTTTGTCTAAAGGTCCATTTAGGAATGCACATTTCACGTCCATCTGACATATGTCCGAATTGTTCATTTCTGCTAGACCAACAACCAACCTGATTGTTTCGATTCTAGCCCTAGGTGCAATAACTTCATCGAAGTCGATTCCTTCTTTCTGAAGAAATCCTTTTGTCACAAGCCTTGATTTGTGTCGAGTTACTTTCCCTTTGGGATTCATCTTCAGCTTGTATACCCACTTGACATTAATTTCCTTCTTGTCTTGAGGCAATTCGACAAGTGACCAAGTATTGTTGTCTTCAATGGACTTCACTTATTCATTCATTGCTTTTACCCACTCTGAATCTTTCAATGGTTTAGTTGCATTAACAGGTTCGACATCTACATAGAAAGTATAATGTACCAGCTCACCTTCATCATCGACCATATCATATGATGTAATAACACAATCTTCCAACCTTGCAAGCATGTGTATTATTCTCCAAGGTCTGCTTGGTCCTGGTTGATATATAACTGTTGGTTCTTCTTGTCGAAATTCTCTTTTGACTTCAATTGCTGGTTCTTTAAATAAGGTTCTTGCTGAATCTTTCTTGACATTTTCTGTCCAATCCCATTTCTTAAGCTCGTCTATGATTACGTCTCTGTTGATCACAATCTGCTTGTTCACTGGGTCGAACAACTTGTAACCTCCTGTCAAATGATATCCTACTAGGATCATCTGACTCGACTTGTCATCGATTTCTTCTCAACTAATCTGGCACATGTCTATATACAATAGATCCAAATACCTTCAGATGACTTAAGCTAGGCTTCACACCAGGAAAATATTCTTCTGGAGTAATTCCTTCTAGCTTCTTCGTCGGACATCTGTTCAAAATATATGTTGCATTCGAAAAAGCTTTGCCCAAAAACTCTTTAGGTAAATCCTTACCTTTAAACATACTTCTCACCATATTCATGATGGTTCAATTCTTTCTTTTTGCAGTTCCATTCTGTTGTGGAGTGTAGGGTAGCACCACCTTATGCACAATCCCTTCTTTTTCACATAATTTGTCAAAGTCTTTTGACACATTCTCTCCACCATCATCAGTTCTTGAAACTTTGATCTTTCGACTACTTTGTCTTTCGACCATAGACTTAAACTTGACAAATACCTCATTCACTTCACATTTCTTCTTGACCAGGTAAGTTCATAGTTTTCGACTAAAATCATCTATGAATGTAACAGTATTTATTACCTCCATTTGAATCCACATGGATTGGTCCGCAAACATCAGAGTATATGACTTCAAGGATTGCCTTCGACTTGCTTCCTGCATCCTTGCTAAAGTTGTTCTTGTGTTACTTCGCCTGCACACATTCCTCACACACCTCATTTGGAATGTCGATTTCTGGTAATCCTGAAACTATATTTCTTATCTTTAAATCTCTGATGTCTCTAAAATTAAGATGACCTAGTCGATAGTGACATATCCATTCATCTCTACTATCTACAGTCGAAAGACACCTGTGCTCCATCACATTAAGTTCAATCTTGAAGGTTCTATTTTGAGATATGGGAGCCTTCAAGATTAACCTTCCATTTGCATCGATAACTCTCATCAAATTGTCATTGACCAACACTTTGTAGTTCTTTTCGACCAACTGCTTTATGCTGAGCAAGTTTCTCTTCATGCTTGGTATGTACAACACATAGAAATTACTGACCTCTTGACATCTTTTCTCATAATCATAACATCACCAATACCTTCAGCTGCTAGAGTTTTGTCATTTGCAAATTTCATTGTGATCTTTATTGAGGGCTTTATGTTGACAAACTAATTTTTCCTTCCAGACATATGTGATGAGCATCCCGAATCCAAGTATCATTGGTCCTAAATTCTCTTTTCATCTTTTGTTGTGACCACCAGCATCATCTCTTCTTCTTCATGCTTTGCAAACTTTGCATCACTTTCTTGATTCTTTCACTTTTCTAGACAATCATTAGAATAGTGACCATACTTCTGACAATTGAAACACTAAATATGACTCTTATCGGGCTTACGACCACCATATCTTCCTCTATTTGCAACACCATCTCTTTAAGAAAGGAAATTAAATTTGATAGGAAATTTTTTTTTGGTCTTTTTATCTTTAAAAGAAATAAAATAAAAAGTATTTTAAGTATGTAAATAAACAAATAAAATATTTTTTGGATTTTTGATTAATAATAATAATAATAATGATAATAATATTAATAATTAAAAAATAAAGGAAAACAAGAAAAAAGAAAATACAAGTGAGATTGAGTAAGGGGTGTGAAAATGATTTGGATGATTTAGAAGTAAAACTGGTTTTGTTTGAATGTTAGGCCCATTAGCATTTTTTGCAATCAGAAAACAGAAAATAAACACAATGAATGGGTTGCGTTGTTATTTAGAAAACAGGGGTGTTAGAGGAAGTAAAAAAAACAAAGCCCACTGATGGAAGGCTTAACACGCTGTTTCAAACCAAAAAAAGAGGAAAATGTTAGAGAAATAAAACAAAAGGGCAGCGCTGGGGCTTGAACCCAGGCCCTAAGCATAAACGAGCGCGCTCTCTACCATTGGAATGACTATACATCTGATGTCTTATATCAAACCATAAATATATATTACAAAACCATTTCTAATGATAAACTTCATCTTCTTC